AATAAGTTGTACTTACGCACAATCTACTTGCAATCTTGAGTTTTAAGTAATATACATTAATAAACAGTACTTTACACATAAAAAATGGTTTTTAAGAGTTTTTGTCAAATGCTTTATAATATAGTATAGATATATTTGCAAAAAATAACAATCTACTTTACATATTCCCAACCGCAAGACCGCAACAACTCACACTATTAAACAGGTCAACGTTTCTGGTAGCTTTATCCACCGGAAATCCGTCGGAAAACAGAGGCAGATATGGCCGTCGAAAAAGAGATGCCGATGATTAATTTTCCAGCATATTTTTTTACCCGACGAAAAATGGGTGCTGGAAATTTTCCCTCAGTTTATTTAAAAAAATCTTGATTAAATTAAGAAAATATTAACGAGTTTTTTTAACAAATTTGAATTAAATTACCTACGGACATATCCGCCGAAAATATGCCGGTATATATCCCTCAGAAATTTGATTTTATTTTTAAAATAATTATTTTTATTCTTTAAATATATATCCGCCGGTAATCCGTCGGAAAAATATGTTATAGTGTTTATATGAAGATCGTGATAGATTTGTTGTTTCAATGCTCAAATCAAATGTTTTGTATTGGTGGGAGGTTGAGTCATCGTCTAAACCCAACATTTAACAATCAATATCATGGATGGAATTTGTGGATAGATTCAAGGAACAGTTCTGTTCTAAAGCGGCAGTAAGGCAACTGGAAGAAGAATTTCTGAAGTTAGAACAGGGAAATCAAATTGTGTGGGAGTATACAGAGAAATTTATCGAACACTCGTTTTGTTGAATATTACATATCTTCGGATTCCTGCAAGGTTGAGCGATATATTTGGGGTTTAAAACCCTCAATCAGAGAATTTTTAATTGCGATGGATCCCGTTACGTTCCCATCTACGGTGGACGCAACTGAAACTACAGAGAGAAATAAGAACAGACAGATGGGAGAAAAGGTGGTGGAAAAGAGAAAATGGGAAGGGTCGTCAACATAATTCAGGAGACCAAAGTTTGTAAAATCAGAGAATCGTCTAGTTCAGCAATTCAGTGAACGACCTTGTTAGAGATGTCACCGTGTTCATCAAGGTGATTGCAATCTGGATCAAAGAATTTGTTTCAGGTGTGGAAAGCCAGAACATATCCCCCAAGATTTTTGAATGCCTCAACGTTGCTATCAATGTGGTTCTTCAAATCACATCAAATCAGAGTGCCCTCAGTTAAAGAATCCAAAATTAACTTTTGGTGGAAACACTCAGAATATTCGTGGGGGTATTAGCATAAAAAGGGGTGAACTTGACAGGACTAGAGGGCGATCCTTCTAGATGTCAAGAGGGGAGGCGGAGGAAGTCCCTAATGTGGTAAAGGGTATGTTTCTCATAAACTCATTATATACTAAGGTATTTATTTGATTTCGGTCGGTGTAAATTATTTATTTGTATCACCTTTATTATTTGTTGGATATTTATATATGAAACTCGTGCCTCTAGACTATGAATTAGTGATTGATATTGCTAATAATAGTCAAATATCTGTTACCAAAGTATTTAATGATTGCCAAATAAAGGTTGAGGGGTGTATGATACCAATCTGATTATTCCATATGTCGATTAGGGAATTTGATGTAGTGGTGGGCATGGATTGGTTTTCAGAAAATCAGGCAAGTATCGTGTGTAAAATAAGAAGATGACACTATTGAACCCCATAATTCATAAAGTGAAAAAGTAATGAAAAACAATAAGTGATGAAGAACCAGAAGACCGATGAAGACATCAAGGCAGAATTCGCTAAGTCTGGTGAACAACCAGAGGACCGATGGACAACCAGTGATGCGATGGAAAGAGCATCTTCATCGCCCCTCTGGTCAACAACACTTAGAGAATTCTTCAGCAATTCATCCAGAGGCATACGATGAAGATTTAAAGATAAAGATGATTCATCATACAATAGAAGACAGCTGGAGATGACAAGTCGACAGCTACACTTCAAGTTTATCTTAATATTAAAGCTTATCTACAATTTAGATAAACATTATCTGTAAATAGAAGATTAGCTAAAAAGTCTCGTTAGATAGTTATCTTCTAATTAGCTTTCTAGTATAAATAGGTGATTAAGCCTATTGCACTAAATGTCTCTTTTACGTTTTTATTATCAATAAAGTGAAACCTTTGACGCTCAAGACTGTTCTTTAGTGTTTATAATTTAATCTGGAGTGTTCATCACTTTCTCCATTAAAACACTATAATTTGGTTATTCTTAAATAGATTATTAGTGTTATTGAGAGATCTGGGATCAACAATTGGTATCAGAGCAAATTGATTGTTTTTCAATCAAAACGATCATCCAAAATCTCTCAATTTTTCGTTTCTCTCATCAAAACGTAAAATCTCTCTTCATAAAGATTCTCAATGGCCAACTGGAATTCTGCATACAGTGTTGGTTCCCTCACTAAGCCTCCAACTCTTCAACGAGAGGAGTACCCGCAATGGAAGATAAGAATGGTGAATTTCCTGGAAGGAATGGACAGGAACCTCCTGCGATCTGTAATGGAGGGTCCTTACATTCCACAAACTCTTGTTCCAAGAGTTCCAGGAACAAACACCACAGCAGAAATTTCTGCCTACTATATGTCCAAGGATGAGAAGAATTGAGATGAAGACGGCATAGAAAGGGTAAAGACATACAAGAAGGCCAAACGATTGATAACCATGGCCATACCCAATGAAATCTTCCAATCCCTCGATGCATGTTCCACAGCCAAGGAACTATGGGATGAATTGGCAAGCCAACTGGAAGGAGGGGCAAAAACGAAGAAAAATCATAGAGCACAATGTCTCAACGAATACATTAATTTCAAGGCCCTTCCTGATGAACCGATACAGAAGACATACGATCGTTTCAACACATTGATCAATCAATGTCGTCGAAACGATATCTCCAGAACTAAGGAAGAAAACAATGTTTTATTCCTAAAAAGTCTTGGCGATGAATGGACTCAGCTGTCTATGTCCCTTCAAGCAAAACCAGGACCTAGACGGCTGGTCACTTCATGATCTGTATGGAACGCTTGCAGCACAAGAGAACGACATAATGAAGAAGAAGGTATCCATCGGTGGACCTCTCGCTCTTGCTGCCGATGAAAAGGAAATATCAAGGACCCCTACCAGAAAACACAAGAAGAAAAGCAAGAAAGCATTGGTGGTAGAGTCAGAATCTGAAGAAGAAACTTCTGAATCAGATGATGAGATTAAAGATTTTGCCAAATCTTTGGCCTTGATTACAAAGCAGTTCCAGAAAAAGTTCATCAAGAAACCCTATGAACGAAAAGAGTTCAAAAGGGAAAGATACCAGTCATCCTATGAAAGGAAGCCATCCAAATTTCATCAGAGGGAAGATAGAAGAGAATAGAGGGGAGAAAGAAGAGAAGACATAAGAGACGAAAGGAAAGAGGACAAGGATGGAAGGAAAAATGACCTCCGATGCTTCAGGTGCGGAAAACTCTGTCATTTTTCCAAAGAAAGCAGAGGACGATTGGTAAAGGATGCTGACTATTACAAGAACAAATACAAGTATAATCCTACAGAGCGAAGCCTGATGGCCGAAAAAGAAAATTGGGTGTCTGATTCTTCATCAGATGATGAAGACAAAGCACTCATCTGCCTGAATACCTAAATCTCTTAAACTAAGGCTCTGATATCACTTCTGTAACAACCCCAAACACTACATTTGCATATAACACATATGTCATTATATAGAAATATAGTTTACATCACAAGGTCCCACTAGTAGAAGGATTCCTATATGTACAAAATCTACATATGAAAAATTCCAAAACAGATCCTGTACTAACACATGTAATACAACATATATCTTCAAAATAAGCAATCTTAAGCAGATCTTCAAAAGCAAATAACAGATTAGGAAAATAATCACATTTTCCCTTTCCCTTTA